CCCTCACTCGGGTCTGGGCTCACAATGTGGCCATTTCTGGTTGTGCATTCCTGCCTTGTCTTGAATGCCCGGGGGATCGCAGTGCTTCTCACGTGCGATGCTGGCTGAAGGAGACTCACCGTGCTCCCAGCCATTCACTTTCGTTAATGGACTTTTCCCGCATTTCGTTGCCTTTTACCCATTGGATTTTGGCCTGTAAGCATGTTGCCTCTCTCAGGCTCATTCGTTGCACTGTAAATGCTTGGCGCCAATGGGGTGATCTGCAGTTTGCATTCATGTCCCAACAGCAGGACAGGAGTGGGCACTTCCCAACTCCGGATGTCGTTCGTCAAAGTCAAACAGTGTTCAGCCGAGCAGCCGGGAGGTGGGTCATTGGCCGTTTCCGTGCCCGATTCTTCTTTGATTCCACATTAGGTTTCCCTGGTGAGGGACCTCCCTTTATGACGCTGGTTTCTGCCAATATTGGGTCCATGAATACCAATCAGTTGTGGAAGTCTTGGGGGGCCGACATTACTTGCCTTCAAGAAACACGTGTGGGAAAAAACGAATCACAAAACAACCCGAAAGAATATTGAAGCTTTTGGCCTTCGTCCGGTTTTTTGGAGACCTTCTTCCTGGGCTTTGGCACCAAAATGGGACCACAAAGACTCCCTGTGGGGGGACTGCCATTCTTGGGTCCGATGTTGCTCTTGAACCCTTTGCTGATCAGCACGACCAAACAGGGTTGTACCAGGGTCTCTTCAAATCGAAACGAGTTGTTGCTGCGTGGTATCAAATCACTCCGTCTCTGAAAGGCCTCTTCTTTTGTGTGTATGCTACCACTGGGGCGTCCAGTGATGCAACCATCTATGCTGCCAACGACAAACTTTTGGAAGGTATTTTTCTGGTGGCGGCCCAGTTTGGGGAAATCCCCATAGTCGTGGCTGGCGACTTCCAAGCCAATCCGCTTAGTTACAACAGTGTTTCTGGTGCGTGCCAAGTACACGGCTGGGTCGATCCCATCCTTGACACGGATGATGACGGATTCACATCTAGGCCGTACACATACTCGAAGGACTGTACTTTTTCTGGAGCCGATGAAGGGTCGATCGATGGAGTCATTGTTAATAAGATTGCCTCTTGTGCCATTAAAGAAGCCAAAGTCCTTGAACATCATGGGCGACAACACCGCCCAATACAAGTGACTTTTGAGTGGCCAGTTTTGGAACAAAGGGGGTATGTCCACTACAAGTTTGCTCCTATTGACGTCACGCAAGTTCCCTCTCCCCGGGATGGGCAGTCAACATGTGATGAATGGAACTCCAAATTTGCCCATGCATACCAGTCTGCAGGCGAGATTGATGGTAAGTGGCAAATCATTCCGTTTTGCAGTCGCTGAAGATCCGGAGTCCGGTTGTAGCTTGACTGCAGGAGAAAAGGACAGCCCATAACTCTGCAGCGTACGCTGACATTGACCAATGGTTAACTTGGCCTTTGTAAATAATGTTGCGCCTGTCATCAACAACAGCGAATGCTCCTGTGGCAAGCCAAATGTTCTCTCCGAAGACAACCGAGCCGTCTGTCCAAATTTCAACAATTGTGTCGGGATGAAACACGTCTGGAATTTGCAGTGCATTCGGATCATTTTGAAGAAGTCGCCGTCTGGCAATAAAGGAAGGGTGGTGGACATGTCCAAGAATACCAAAGTTCACTCCCATCTCATGCACCACAGGCGTTCCAATGATATCCCCAATGCGAGGACAGTCAAACACCAAATGTGCCATGGACTCTTTCTCATGATCGCAAAACCGGCACTTTGCAGACTCACTCCATCCTGTGCTAGCCATTCGGTCGTTGGTGAGAGTACATCCCACAACAATTGACTCGAATCGCTGGTGGTTGGCGATGGCCTCAGTTGTCAGTACCCGGTCGGACCGGAAGGTTGATGCAGTGAGAGACAAGTCAAAAACATCATTAGTCTTGGAAAAATCCTTCCGGGGTGTGGATCCAGCCAAATTATAGCATGCATTTCTAGTTATGGCCTGCAGCATTTTCCTGACATCTTGCGGAGGAAGATCAGTCAGGGGTATTGGGCAAGAGCCTTTAAAAGAAAGCTTAAGACCTTGGTGAATCTGGATTCCTAGGAATTCACAGGCTTGCTGAAATCGGCTAGACAGCGAGTGCGCTGGCCATGAATGATGCATAAACGATTTTTCAAACTTATGAAAGATTGTTGCATCAGAATGGCATGCCCGGATGGTCTCAAAGACTGTTGTGTAGGCACAAGCACTGCGAGGATCAGTACGATGTGGATAGGCCAGGACAGCATGTAGAAGCCACTTGGACCTCCACTTCGGACGTTTGCCCCACATGCAGCGGGCGATAGCATTTTGGATGGTCTCGAGTTTGGCCTTGGGTATTCGAGAAATGTGTGAGCCAAATGTGATTTTGGGAACAACTTTGGCACCAATCAAAAAGATCTTCGTTTTCATGGAGACTGGCAGGGCAGCAACATGATCAATGTCCATCAAAATCTTTTTAAAAGAGCCATCGGTGAAGCCAAAATTTTCCCGGCTTGATGTGTACATCCGCGTGCCAAGGGTTTCGAATTCCAACACAACGGGAAATTCCGGGAACAGTTCAGCAAGGGCACCACGACCGTGCCCTGTATTGCTCCACATACTGGATTTACCGGTGTTCAACCGTTGGCCAACTAATGTGTCCCATGTTTGTGTGACTTGGATAGCCTGTTGCAACATGGCTGCATGAGTCAGTTTGCACCAAATGTAACTATCGTCGATATAGGCACGAACAACAAGGGCAGGGAACAACTCAAGAAAGTGATACCAGACTTTATTGTAGGCATTCATAGCAAGGATGGAGAATGAGCAGCCCTGTGCCATGCCGTTTGCGTGCGTGGTAGCACAGGGAGATGTCCAATTCCGGTATGCCATATGCTTATGCAAGTTTTGGTATAACAAGAGGAAAACCCTGACCACATGCTTCGGGATCCCGAACGCTACAAAAAGGCAAGCTGCAAACTGGGGAATGATTCTGTCGAATGCTTTGGACTTGTCAAGTTTGACTCCCACTATTGTTTCACCCGCCTGGTTGGCTAAGTCCAAATCAAGGCGCAGGTCGTCATAAAGGGTGGCCATGTAGCGCCCTTTCACACCACCGACAATTGCAGGCGGCATGGCGGTGATTTGCCACTCTTGCAGCTGTGCATACCTAGTACCAGTATATGCTAAGAGGAGGGGGGGGGAGAACAGTGATAAGACGCTTATTAATCGGCGACGCCGGACCGGCTTTGTTCAAAATGACTTGCTTGGCAACAGTGAGTGCAGTCGGGAGAGGGAACTCAGACTCCTCAATCAATTGAAAGAACTCTGCCAAAACATTGAAGCAAAACTTCGGAAGCGCCTGAAGTTCACACGTTCTCCACCCATCAAGGCCGGGTGCGGCATTGATTTTTCTCTTTTGAACAGTGAGGAAAAGGGCGTCACCTGTGATCGGTGGGAGATTGGCGGGAATTTGTTTATCCTGAATGTACGGCCATACAGTCTCAAGCATCTTTAGAGGGTGCTCGGATAGAACATTGGCAGCAAAGATGTCATCCCAAGCTTCATTTAAGGTTGCGATGGCTTGTTCAGGCTGTGTGATGATGTTCCCTGCCCTGTCGGACACAAGGTTTGGGGGTTCATCACTGGACTTGTTTCGCAAATGCTGAAAAATGAAACTACATCCATGCTTCTCAGAGTTCTTGATACGAGTTTTCCACTGCTTGATGCGATTTAAGCGGATCCTACCATCAAGTGTGACAGCAAAGTTTTCAGCCCACGACCTAGCCCAAAAGATTTCAACCAAAGACGGGCAGGCAGGTATGTCCCATCGTATGGGTGTGCGAAATTGGGATAAGGCTCTGTGGGCTTTAATCGCCAACTGTCGTGTATTGAATTGGTCCTGCTCACTACCTTGGGCTCGAGATAAACGGCACGACAATTCATTTAATCGCCGAAGGAGTCGAAACAAGTCAAGGGAGACTTTGGTTGCTGCACACCGCGTGTGCAATTGGGATGGGCAGATTCTTTTTGACTTAAAGCACGGAGGTTGGGCACGCTCTCGTGGTCCCGATCCCCACTTCGCTCCAAGATTAAACAAGGTGGATTGGAAATACTGATTGTCTAAGGACCCTTCTGTTGATGCGGTCCCTGGGGTGTTCAATTCCACCAGACCGCGTTCATGTGGGCGTGTCCTACCCCAAGGGTGTGTGGACCATGCCATCCCATTTGTCGATAGCAGAGGGTACCACTTGATTGCCCGCCTGTTGGCACGTGGTGCGGGACGCACACTCGAATCTTGGGAGATTCCGGTGTGTGACTTTTAATTTTGATGGTCACCAAGGACCTCTTCCTGTGTACATTCTTAGTTGTGTCATTGACCTGTGTGTCATGCATAAGCCAGACGCGTTTCACAGCGAGACTCTGGCGCGAGAGGTAGTAAAGGGTGAGAACATCCATTACTTCTATACAGCGTGCAGGTTACCCTTCCAACTTCCTGGTTTTTGGAGCACGGACACGAGTGAAGTGGCACGGACACGTGTCCACTGTCCAAGACTGGTTGGCCCCCGAAACCAGAAACGCTTCTAGTACGTTGGAGGCCGCTTCTAGGTTGGAGGCCAGTCTAGCAGGGTAGAGGACAATCTCCAAATCTGAGCCTCACAGGAGCATAGCTGTCTCTTCGGTCCAAGAGAACGGCTCCGACAAGAACATGTCTATGAGTCTATCCCTCCTCCCCAAAAACAAACATGAAGAATATGACTATACCAGCAGTCACAAAGGGGTGCTTAATGGAGGTTAAGGGTGCCCAGCTACTCCACTCACTGGATGGGACTAAACACCACCCCTTTGTGACTCCTGGTAGAATCAATTGTAGCATGGGCATGTCACATTCCTTGTCAAGCCTGGGTGGGCCACGCAGACCGCCGCGAATTCGCGCGCCCCTTCTCGGTTTCGCTTCGCCTCGTGAAGGGCTTCAAACTCCAACAAGCGGATCACTTCCCCTTCAGCCATTTGGAAGAAGCCCCTGCAAATCGCGTGAGGGCTTGTAGTTCTTGAGCGCATGGGTTCTTAAGCTTGGAGTGGGGACACAGTCACTTCAAAAGGCTCCTTATGGTAAGCCTTGTGGCGTGTGAAGGTTCGGATTTTTGAGGAAGACTGACAGCTTTGAGGGTGTCATAGACCCATGCGGTCTTCATCGAACTAGGGGATGGGACCTCCAACAGCATCAACGCAACCACAGCGACAGGCCAGAGCCTGCGCAAGCAGAGCGGGCCAGCATGGTCTACAAAAAGTGTTTTTGCGCGGACATGGGACAGGTCCGAACAGGATTAGAGGGCTCCCACAGGCCATGGTTTGACCTGGTTGTTCCCTTGCAAAACACATGGTTTTTGTATATGAACACCTCGACTCTGACCAGCATCCCCGACCCAAAAGTGTCCCCTTCCTCATCAACCTTCGGCAGTGGGTCATGCCATCACGTGAGACTTGTGGGAGCATCGGGTCAAGACCCAACCGGTGGTTGTTAAATCGAAGTTCGGGGTCCAATGAGATCTGGGAATGTTGGCAGAAGAGGCTAGTTCTATCATTGGGCCATACTACTAGTAGCTCCAGAGCTACGAACGGAACCAGGGGCATCGCGTAGCGAACGGAGCAAGGTCGGACGCTACGAACGGGGCTCCCTACTACCATACTGATGTGCGGCTTCCAGGAAGTCGGAACGGAATCGAAACAAACCTCTCCCCTACGGTAGAGGTTCATCTATAATTGGTATATATACCTAGAACCTGAATGACCTCTATTTTGGATCACCAACCACCCAAAATAAGGTCTGTTCCTATCAAAACAGAGGTCAAATGGGCTCTATATATAAACTCACCCTAAGCAAAGCCAGGATCTCTTGGGATCGTTCTTCTCGTTGTATCATTGTATCTCTCGTAAGCCGATGCCACGAGTGACGCGTCAGCTCTCTCCATTCCGTCACGTCTCCATCCGCGGCGCCGGTGCGAAGCGAAGGCGAAGGCGAAGGGTGGTCCGCCTCATCTCTGCAAATGGATCCAAATGTGTGGATACCACGGTGAAGGGCTCCTGCCGGTTCCGTGAAAATCGAAAAAAAACAAGCGGGTGTTCCGAGCTCCAAGCCACCCAACGCGCGGTTTCTTCTGGTTTCCGGGCGGCACCATCAATCAGCATCAGTGAGTCACCACCCCCCCAAAAGGTGTTACATCACTCCCAGATGCTTCTCCAACTGCTACTGCATTGGGATTTCCACTCCGCAGTCATTGGTGAATGATCTCATCCTTTGCTCCATGTTTTGCCAGGATCTCCAGGTGGGCCAGGTACATCGGAAATCTGAGCATTCTACATGGTCTATACTCTACACGTTGGGGAACTAGTCTCGTGTTGTAGTTAGCGTCTATTACCTATTATGTCCTGCTCATGTCTGTCTCTACCCTGGGCATCAGATATTGATCCTAATCAATATTCTTGAAAAAAATCAACAATTTCTATTGATTTGGGCGCGTGCTTTTTCAATAGAAATTCTTCCTCAAAGCCAAGCAAAAATCAATAGGAAATTCAATAAACAGCAACATGGTCAGCTTGATCAAATTTGATCAAAAACCAGCCAAATTTGATCAAATTTGATCAAAAACCAGCCAAATTTGATCAAATTTGATCAAAATTGATCAAATTTGATCAAATTTGCTTTTTCGAAGCTGCCCAGAAATCAATACCGGAATCAATATCAAAATCAATATGATTTTCAATATTTTTGGCAAATCAAAAATATTGATATTTTTTCGGTTTATTGATTAGGATCAATATCTGATGCTCAGGGTACTCTTTGAAAACAGACTCTAACTCAATCTTCCACCAGCCAGCATCCCCCTTCACGCACCCACGAACTTCACCGTAAAACGAGGCGTTTTCAGCCTCCCAGCCCCCACCGTCCCGTCCCGTCCCAGCTCGCTCCCACCTGCCCCCAACGCAGCGTGGCCACCGCCGCGCTGCGCTCCTCGCCGAAGCGCCTGCGCTGGTCCCGCCAAGGCGGCGGAACCGGGGTCCCCACCAGGTCCATCTACCACAACCCTGCAAGACCTGGAAGGTCATGGTAAGGGACACTGAACTGCATGGCACTGGAATCTTTACAGTGGTTGCTGGTAGCTTGCAGGGGGTGAAGGTGGGGTAAATATGCCAGTCCCATCTGTCGTGTCTGGGATGTATAATATATATATATATACATGAATGATCATGAATGTTGAAATGATGGCAGAGTCGAAGTGTCCCAAAGACTCAATGTGAAGCATGTGAAGCATCCCCAAACCAAATACTCCATTGCATATATGCCGACAGCGATAGCCAGCAAACCTACTAGCCATGGCAAAAAACCTAAGAGCGATGGCCTCCACCCTAGTAGCAATGGCCTCCACCCTAAGAGCGATGGCCTCCACCCTAAGAGCGATGGCCTCCAACCTAAGAGCGATCGCGTCAAACCTGAGAGCGATGGCCTCCACCCTAAGAGCGATCGCCTCCAACCCAAGAGCGATGGCCTCCAACCTAAGAGCGATCGCGTCCAACCTGAGAGCGATGGCCTCCACCCTAAGAGCGATCGCCTCCATCCTAAGAGCGATGGCCTCCACGCTAAGAGCGATGGCCTCCACCCTAAGAGCGATGGCCTCCAACCTAAGAGCGATGGCCTCCACCCTAAGAGCGATCGCCTCCACCCTAAGAGCGATGGCCTCCACCCTAAGAGCGATGGCCTCCACCCTAAGAGCGATGGCCTCCACCCTAAGAGCGATCGCCTCCACTCTAAGAGCGATGGCCTCCACCCTAAGAGCGATCACCTCCAACCTAAGAGCGATGGCCTCCACCCTAAGAGCGATCACCTCCAACCTAAGAGCGATGGCCTCCACCCCAAGAGCGATGGCCTCCACCCTAAGAGCGATCGCCTCCAACCTAAGAGCGATCGCCTCCAACCTAAGAGCGATCACCTCCAACCTAAGAGCGATGGCCTCCACCCCAAGAGCGATGGCCTCCACCCTAAGAGCGATCGCCTCCAACCTAAGAGCGATCGCCTCCAACCTAAGAGCGATCACCTCCAACCTAAGAGCGATGGCCTCCACCCCAAGAGCGATGGCCTCCACTCTAAGAGCGATCGCCTCCACCCTAAGAGCGATGGCCTCCACCCTAAGAGCGGGCAGCGCCTCATCTGCGCACACAGATTTGGCTCATCTGCGCACACACATTTTGTTAGCACTTGCGCCTCATCTGCGCACACAGATTTGACTCATCTGCGCACACAGTCCATGGGGGAGACTCAAGTGCGCACACAGGCCCTTTCCCGGATGTTTGCTTAGTTAAAAGGGTCGTCAAGATGGAACGGCCACTTCCTCCTCTAAATCTTACCCTCGGGTGGCTCACCAAAGGGTGAGTCAACTTGGAATGACCACTTCCTTCTCTAAATCCGCCGACCCCTGCCGAAGCAGGGGAGCGCGTCAGAGGAGGTATGCTTGCGCTATGCTTGCGCTACAACCTCAAACCCTGCGCCAGGTCAGGATCGCAGCCAGAGCCCACGGGCTAGCAGCAGGAACCATGTCAGGATAGCACCCCGGAGCTTGACCGCACCCCAAACCCTGCGCCACCCCCAAAACCCTGCGCCAGGTCAGGATAGCAGCCAGAGCCCACGGGCTAGTAGCAGGGGCCATGTCAGGATAGCACCCCGGAGTTAGGGTCAGGATAGCACCCCGGAGCTAGGGGCAGCGCCCAATCCCTGGCAGCTGCTGTCTTGATGGATAGATTTTTTTGGGTTTCGAAAGTGACGTTAGGACTGGCCGCACCCCAAACCCTGCGCCACCCCCAAAACCCTGGTCAGCAGGAACCATGTCACAGGAGATGCTGCCAGAGCCCAGGTCAAGGCTAGAGGCCACGTCCCAACCTCAAACCCACGGGCTAGGAGCAGGAGCCATCCAGGTCAGGATAGCAGCCAGAGCCCACGGGCTAGGAGCAGGAGCCATGTCAGGATAGCACCCCGGAGTTAGGGTCAGGATAGCACCCCGGAGCTACGGGCAGCGCCCAATTCCTGGCAGCTGCTGTCTTGATGGATATTTTTTTTGGTTCCGAAAGTGATGTTAGGACTGGCCCCAAAACCCTGGTCAGCAGGAACCATGTCACAGGAGAGCTGCCAGAGCCCAGGTCAGGGCTAGAGGCCACGTCCCAACCTCAAACCCTCAAACCCTGCGCCAGGTCAGGATAGCAGCCACACCGCACGGGCTAGGAGCAAGCCATCCAGGTCAGGATAGCAGCCAGAGCCCACGGGCTAGGAGCAGGAGCCATGTCAGGATAGCACCCCGGAGTTAGGGTCAGGATAGCACCCCGGAGCTAGGGGCAGCGCCCAAATCCTGGCAGCTGCTGTCTTGATTGAAAGTTTTTTATTGGTTCCGAAAGTGACGTTAGGACTGGCCGCACCCCAAACCCTCCGCCAGGTCAGGATAGCAGCCAGAGCCATGGGGCCACGTCAAGGCTAGGGCCAGCTGGAACCATGTCACAGGAGAGCTGCCAGACCCCTGGCAAGGTCAGGGCCAGAGGCCACGTCCCAACCTCAAACCCTGTGCCAGGTCAGGATAGCAGTCAGAGCCCAGCACGAGCCATGTCAGGATAGCACCCCGGAGTTAGGGTCAGGATAGCACCCCGCAGCTAGGGGCAGCGCCCAATTCCTGGCAGCTGCTGTCTTGATTGAAAGTTTTTTATTGGTTCCGAAAGTGACGTTAGGACTGGCCGCACCCCAAACCC